ATATGCATACGTATCTGTATATGTATATATATATGTATATATACGTATATGTATACATACATGTATATGTATATGCATAGGTATATGTATATGTATATGTTCATGTATATGTTCATGTATGTGTACATGTTTTTGAATATATATATATGGATTTGTATATGTATATGTATATGTATATGCATATGTATATGTATATGTATATGTATATGTATATGTATATGTATATGTATATGTATACGTATATGTATATGTATATGTATATGTATGTTCGTATGCATACGCACATGCATATGTGTATGTTTATGACCAGGTTTATGTTCAGGTATATGTAGATGTATGTATGTATATATATATATATATATATATATATGTCTGTCTGTCTGTCTGTCTGTCTGTCTGTCTGTGTATCTGTCTGTCAGTCTATCTGTCTGTCTGTCTGTCTGTATGTATATATGTATGTATGTATGTATGTATGTATGTGTGTATATTTATACATACATATACACACCAACAAATAAATACCGCCCCCTCCTGGCCCCTGGTCCCACACCTCCCCGCCACATCTCGGGAACGCTCCCAGTACCGCTCCCCCGGCCTTTCCGGGGAGCCTCCACAGCGCTCCAGGAGGGCCCAAGACGCCTCCCAGGAGCCCCCAGAATGCGAAAGGATGGCCCAAGACGCTCCCAAGCAGCCCAAGTCAGCCCTCCGACGGCTCTCGAGGCTCCCAGGTGGCCTCCAAGAGACCCCAATAGAGATCCGAGAGGCGTCCTGGGACGGCCCGAAGAGGCCAACATCGTCGATGTTCATTTGTTTTTTCAATGTTTTTGCTTCTCGCGTTTTCGAGCTTCCAACGGTCCAAGAGCGCCGAAAAGGCTCCCAAGACCGCCCCAAGACCACCCAAGAGACCCTCAGGACTGCCCCTCGACGGGCCAAGAAGGCTCCAAGACTGCCAAAAAGGCGCCCAGGACAGCCCCAGATCACCCCAGAACAGGCCCAAGATGGGCCCAAGAGCGGGAGCAGGAGGCTTCCAGAGACCTCGGAGAGGCCTCCGGGAGCACCCAGAGGCCCCCAACACACCCCCCATCCCTTAGAGGCCCAAACAAAACCCCGACGAGGCTCCAAGAACAGCCCCAGAGAGCTGCGAGAGCCGTCCCGAGAGAGCTGAAAGAGGGTAAAATCGTTGATTTCCAATGGTTTTTCTAATGTTTTTCGCCTTCTCACGTTTTCCCGCTTCCAACCCTCGAAGATCGAGGACTTTTTCAAAAAGGGAATTCCGAGAATTCGCTTTTCTTTCAAAGTGGGACTCCAACTCGGGATCCCACACATCCCCTGACATCTGGCCGGTACCGCGCCTCCCGGCTTCTCATGGGGCCCCCAAGACGCCCAAGGACAGCCCAAGACGACCCCAAGGAGCTCCCAGAACGTAAAGATCGGCCCAACACGCTCCCGCGCAGCCCGAGATACCCTTCCGACGGCTCTCCAGGCCTCCAGGAGGCCTCCAGACCCCCCAGGGGGTCCAGAAGATCCCACACCCCTGGGGCCCAGCTAACAAAACCCGCGAGGCGCCGAGGAACAGGACAAAACGGGAATCCCACATTTTTTTTCAAGTCTGGCCCCTGGTCTATTCTTGCACAACAGACCACAATTCAGACCCCCCTCACCTCCCCCCAAAAAGAACCCAGGAAGCTTTTCAGGGTCCCAAATCGTTGAATACCTGAAGGGAATTCATGATTTCTGCGTTTCCGTATTCCCCTTCTATACGATTCCGAGGCTTGCGCATGGCCTCCAAGGGAGTCCCTGGACGGAAGAAGCGACCAACATGAGATTACTTGAGCTAGCCTATCAAGCCTAGCTAGAACTTGAGCGCGCGCGAAACGCGCGCGATGGTTCTAGTATATATATATATATATATATATATATGTATAGATATACATATACACACACCTACGCTTTCGGCGATGCCTCTGTCGTGGAAAATTTGCCTCCTAGTGGCCTCTTGGGCGCCGCTGTGGGGCCGCTACATCACCGTGCCGGAAGTTCCTCGGATTTCGGTCAGTGCGCTCGAATGTATAGTTTGCTCGCAAGCACGAGCTCACCGCGACGGCAGCCCTGAGGTGGATAAGGGCTCAAGCTGCGTTGAACCCCCCAGCGCCCCGACAAGCCTAGCAAGACAGCCTTCTTGCGTGATGTGGGCGGGATCCCGCTCGACTCATGTTTTCTTATATCAGAGGTTTAATCCAGCCCGCCATACATTCCATCCATACACAATAGAATGCCTGTGAACCCGGGCGGGATGCACATCCCGCAACTTGATTGCGTCTTAGCGTTTTCTTGGGGTCATTTTGAGAGCATCTCCGGGTCATACTTGCGTCATGGAGTTGTGTTCTGGTATTGCTTCGGCCACTTTGGGCCGCTTGGGGACCATCTCATGGTCACTGGGGTATCTCGGGATCACCTGTTGCATACAGTGGAGACCCATGCCAAGAAACACCCTGCTTGCCTCCAGGGTGCCCTGGGTTTCTCGGGTTTCGATGGTTTTGCTACGGAAAGCGTGCCGTCCCCACACCAAAAATCAAGGGACGTCCTGGGGTCTCAGGGTTGGGTTTCTTGTGGAAGGTTTCTTGTGGACTGGCCTCCGCTGTATAGGTTGTACCACCTTGGGATTGCCCTGCGGCCAGCGGGACGCCACGTCGAGATCATGTGCGGATTACTGAAATCTCTCGGGGTCGCCCCGAGGGCGTGGCGGGTTCGTGTCGCGTCGACGCCGCGGCGACCCCGCCGCGGGCGCTCAAGGTTGAGCGCCGTCAGTGGCATCGGCCAGTATGGGACTTGAACGATCCGTGCGGTGTCGGACACCAACGCCGCGGTCACCACGACACGCACCTGCCGCACTGTCGGATCGCTGGCGCTTTGAGGCCATCTCGGAAGCGCGCTAGGGTTGCGGAGCCGCCGTGGCGTCGGTATGGATCGTCTTGCGGTCTTGTCGCGGCGAAGTAGGAGGTATCTTGGATCTTTTGCAGGTCTGGGGGGCCATCTCTGGGCAAAGACTTCGAAATGTCAGTCTGACCTGCCCCTCCTGGGCCTCTCGTCAGGCCGTCTTGGGGGCCCCTTTTGGGCTCTCGTGGGGGCCTCGGGTGCTGTCTTGGGGCGATATTGGGGCCTCTTGGGCCGCGTTGGGCGCTCTGGAGCGAAAAGCCTCGAGGTGGTTCAATGGTTTCGGCCGGGGTTCAACACTCGAAGTGGAGGAGGAGGAGGAGGTGGAGGAGGAGGATCAGGAGGAGGAGGACAAGGACAAGGAGAAGGAGGAGGAGAAGGAGGAAAAGGTGGAGGAGGAGGAGGAGGAGGAGAAGGAGGAGGAGGAGGAAAAGGAAAAGGAAAAGGAAGAGGGAGAAGGAGGAGGAGGAGAAGGAGGAGGAGGAGGACCGCACTGGGCGCTCTGAAGCGAAAACGCCCGAGGTGGCTCAGTGGTTTCGGCCTCCCGGGCTGGCCCCCGGGGCCTCCGGCGCGACGAGCCCCTCCATCTGAGACCATCTGGCAGAGGAGGAGAAGGTATCCATGCCTCTACCCTTCCCCCGTTGATTCGCCTCGCAATTCTGGTGAGAACGCGCCCCGGGCGAGGTCCGGGGAGTAGCGGTATCGGTGCCTTTTGGTTTCCCCGCGGTCCCTCCATCTGAGACCGTCTGAGACAGTCTGGGGCCCTCTGGGGATGTCACGAGACCATTTAGGAAGTCACGGGACCATCTGAGAGCGTCCAGGGCCCTCGAGAACGGGAGGGGACACGGGCTCCCACCCACGCTCCCCGGGCTCTCTGGGGAGGTCACGCGACCAGCCCCGAGAGGCGCGCGGAGCGCCCACGAGAATTTGGCAGTGGGGGGTCTGGGTTCCTCGAAAGGCATTGGGGCCCTCACTCCAGAGGACTGCAATGCACCTGGACCTGGAGACCCAGGTTTAAGTCCATGTGCATACACAGATGTAGAGGCAAGCATGTGATAGAGATAGAGGAGAGAGGGAGAGAGGGAGAGAGAGGGAGGGATACACACATTTATATGTATATATATATATAGAGAGAGAGGGAGAGAGAGAGAGAGAGAGAGAGAGAGAGCGAGAGAGCCAGAGAGACAGAGAGACAGAGAGACAGAGAGACAGACAGATAGAGAGAAATGGACATAATCAGAGAGCGAGAGAGAGAGAGAGAGACAGAGAGAGAGAGAGAGAGAGAGAAAGAGAGAGATACTGAGAGACAGAGAGAGGGACAGAGACAGAGAGACATATACAGAGGCATATCCCTGATATAAACATATTCAGATGTAACATGTATATACAGTTACATGTTCACGCGTAGTCAAATATACTCCGTGCACTCCCTTACAGACGTTCCAATAATGGTACCATGCTGGATGCCATGTGACGGTCCACAACCTGACTGGGTATTATCAATAACGCATTGTGGTCGATGGTACGCTGATGCGCTTGATGAGTGTGGCTCAGCAGTCGATTGGTTTTGACAGGGTTCCAGATCTGACGGTACGAGGAGCGGGGCGGGCTCCAGAGAAGAACGTTGCGATCGTGATGCTGTGTGAGTCCGATGGTGTACTTGCCCGACGGGGGCGATCCCGATCGATCTTGACACGGCCAGGCAGACATCACCGCCGCACCAGGACGAATCGACCGCTCTTCCGTGGGGAGGAAAAATCGAAGAAGGGAGGAGGGAGAGGAAGGGAGAAGGGCAAGGAGGAGAAGGAAGGAGGGAGAAGAGCGGAGAACGAGACGGGCAGGGAAGGGTGAGGAGGAGGAGGAGGAGGAGGAGGAGGAGGAGGAGAGGAGGAGGAGGAGGAGGAGGGAGGAGGAGGAGGAGGAGGAGGAGGAGGAGGGGAGGAGGAGGGGAGGAGGAGGAGGAGCAGGGGGAGGGAGAGCGCAATGCGGGGGACGGAGGCGTCGGGCCCCGCTGCGGCGCGACGAGCCGCGCCCCGAGCGATGCGCGGGACTGGCCGAAAGCCGAGGCTCTGGGTCGATGCCGTGGCGTCGGTGCCGGTCTACGTGTTCCTGCGGGGGGGCCGTGCTCGTGCACGTCGAGATTTCAGCTGATCAGGCAAAACATGCAGTGGGGGCCCATGCCAAGAAAGACCCTGCTTGTCTCTAGGGTGCCCTGGGTTTCTTGGGTTTCGATGTTTTTGCCACGGCAATCGTGACGTGCCCACGCCAAAAATCTGCGGGCGTCCTGGGGTCTAAGGGTTGAGTTTCTTGTGGACGGTTTCTTGTGGACTGGCCTCCACTGTATGGGGCGCTTCAAAAGGGGCCTTGCCTTCGAGCGTGGAAGGAGTTGTCATCTCGTCCTCGGCGGAGAGCGGCGGAAGGGCGCCGGAAGATCGGCGGAGAGAAAACGAGGCTGCCTCCGCTGGCGGAAGCCGACGGCAACTCGGTGGAAGGCGGCGGAAGTAAAAGATATCACCCCAAGAGATGGAAACGTTTTTGGCTTTGGGGTTCTCGGAGCCCGCCATACGAGATTCTGAAGTGCTGGGCGGTCGAAGTCTGTCGTTCGGGCGGCTCCCTCCCGCAGTCGAGTACCGGGCCCCGGGACCGTCGGCAGCGACTCGGAAGGAGAAGCGGGTCCCAGTGAAACGTTGCAGACGAAGAGGGGTCCAAGGTATGAAGCAAGTTGCGACGTCGGAGTTTTGGGAAGGGGCGAGCGGAGGGAGAAGGGGAGGAGTAGGTTTTGGAGGCGAGAAGGGAGGGGAGAGAGGGACGAGAAGGGCACAGTAGCATGAACGCCAGGGAAGTGCGGTGGAGAGGAACTCAGAGGGTAGGGGGCAGGGGGGAGGGCGGGGGAGGGCAGGGGGAGGGAGCGAAGGGTGGTTGGGCATGGGGTGGGTTGGGGAAGGGAGGTATGGAGATTTGCGAACCCTTGAAAATCCCTTGGACCCTCCTCCTTCTTATCATCCTCCTCTTCCTCCTCCTCCTGCTCTTCCCTCCTCCTCCGCCCCCCCCCTGCCCCCCCTGCTCCTCCTCCTCCCTCCGTCTGCTCATCCCTCCTGCGTGGCCCTGCCGACCATTCGTCGGTGGGCGCCGATGCGGCGGATGTGAGCGCTGCTGATGGTGCTCTCGCCGTTCGCCGACGCCTGCCCGAGCCTGCCGCGGGGGGGAGAGGCCAGCGGCGGCGATGCCCTGCCTGCAGGCGCACTCGCTGCTGCTCTGGCCGCTCGCGGTGTCCTCGCTGGATGCCCACGCGTGCGTGGCCCTGCTGCTGACGAGCCCGGCAGTGGCGTTGGCCACGAGGCTCGGGCGTTTCTCTCTGGGCCTCCCAGATGGGGTCGGAGGATCGCGCCGCATCGCCGATGCATCGGCGATGCGGCTCGATGCGGAGCCCGATTTTCTCCACGCCGATGGCGCCGATGCGTCGCCGACGTCGCCGCTGCACCGCCGATGCGGCGCGATTCTCCGACCCCATCTACTCGGACCCCAGTTAGAAGGCCTCTATTCTCCCCCCCCCGTTGACGGTCGTGAACTTTGGCTTAGCGTGTCGTGCCGCAGGGTTTGGCCCACCACGCGTCGGCGCGACATGCCAAGCCCGCCTCCCTTTCCCAAGAGCGTCAGCGTTCCGAGCTCTTCCCAGCCTCGCGGCCTGCGGAGCGGAGCGGCGCGCTGTCCGCCTGCAAGCCATCGCGCGTCGCCGGGGCCGCCGCCGCGACACACTTGTGCACAGTTCCTGGCCGTGTCGCCCCCCCCCACACCCCATTAGGCAACGCCCAAGAGGCACGTGGTGCTGGTGATGGCTTCGTGGCCGGCTGCCGCACCAGCTTGCGGCTGCGGGCGCCGTCCGCGGCAGTGTGCCGAGTGCCTCGAGGCGCGAGCGGCCGGAGGCGTAAGCGCAAGACCACGCAGGAAGCTGAAACGGTACGAACCCACGGCGAATATGAGCTGGACGTGGTCGAGCTGGGCGACATGTGTGGAGTCTGACCGATCGGATCGAGATGGGCCCTGCGAGTCCGCCGCCGCGTCAACGCGGCGCGAATCGTGGCACTCAAAGCAAAAGGAAATGGCTCGGGGACGCGCGTCGTCGCCGTCGGCGGGGATGACGACGGCGATGGCGCGGACGGCGACGGGCTGCGGTGAAGGACCAGTCCTCCGTCATGATGCGGATGCGACGGCGCTCTGCCTGCGCCATCCATATCTTCCAGGTGTCCGAGCAGCGCCACGCAGAGGGGTGCCTCTCGTTGCCCGTGGCCCTACTTCAGCGGTTTGGGGATTCACATTCCACAGCCACCTCCGCTACGTCGTCGAAGGCCTCCGCTGCGGCGTCGAGAATATCCCAATCGATTTCGCAGCGAGGCATAGTTCATAGTCTGAGAGCCGCACAGGCGGGGCGGCAGTCGCGTAGCGTAGCAGCGATTTGACCCTGTTGTGTCTCCTGCTGCCTGGGCTCCTCCTCCTCCTCCTTTTCCCACTCCTCCTCCCCTCCTCCTCCTCCTCCTCCTCCTCCTCCTCGTACTCCTCCTCCTCCTCCTCCTCCTCCTCTTCCTCCTCCTCCTCCTCCTCCTCCTCCTCCTCCTCCTCCTCCTCCTTGTCACACCGTCATGGCAAACTGTGCCGCTGGAGGGAGTCTCCTCTTCCTCTTCCTTTGCAGGCTACCCTCTCCTCCTCCTCCGCCTCCTCCTCCTCATCCTTTCTCGCCAGCCGTCATGAGACAACACGCACCGCTGGAAGGTCTTCCTTCCTCCTCCTCCTCTTTCCTTCCTCCCCCTTCTCCTACTGCTGCTGCACCGTCTTCTATTCCTCCTCTTCTTGCCACACCATCATGCCAAGCTGGCCCTCCCTCCTCCTCCTCCTCCTCCTCCTCCTGCCTCTTCTATTCTCTGTGAGCAAGCTCCTGCTGTCTCCGCAGCTTCTCTGCCCAAGTGCCCCCCGTCGGCCGCGCGTGCGGGCGCCTTATGCAGGCGGTCGCACAAGCGGCTCTCCAGGGCGCTGGGGAGATTTTGTTCAGGGGGCTGCGGGCCGCGCTCTACGAGCGGCTCGTGGCTGCCCCCCTCTCTGTGCTTCAGGACCAGGGGCCTCCAGCTCCTGCCTGGTCCATCCTGCAGGCGGACTCGTCCGAGGGCGAGGGGGCCTCCTGCCCTCTCCCTTCGGCGGGTTCCACCTGCCCCACCGTCTGCCTCGGGCTGGCGGTGGACCTGAGCGGCGGGGTCTCTCCCTGGCTGCTCAGCACGGTCGCCGCCCTCCTCTGGGTGACGGCCGCCTGCAGCGCCTGCGCGGGCTGCTGCCTCGGGCTGCTGGGCCCGTACGTGTGGCGGAGGCTCTGGCCCTTCGCCTGGCCGCGCGGCGCGGTTTCTGCTTCACCTGAGCAGGACCGCCGTGCGGCGCGAGCGCTGGCCTACGGGGCTCCGCCTCGACCTCAAGCGCTCGAGCGGGCAGACGCCCAGCGTGCGGGCGGCGGCGTCCACGGCGGCGCCCACTGATGGCGGAGCTGCCACCAGTTGGCGGAGGGCCCCTTTGGCCCGAGCTCTACCCTTTCGCTGCGCCCACGGCGCGCGACTACGCACGATGGCGCCTAGACGACGGCGACACCAGCTGGGCGGCTATCCCCCTCGCCTCTCGAGAAGGGGGCATCCTGCTGGCCCTGCCTGGTGCCTTTCGCTCTACAGCGGAGCTCGAGGCTGCCGAGGCGGATGGCTTTGCTGGGATGATAGGCCCCTTCCAGCTAGTGGACGTCCAGCTCCAGGGGGCCGCTTCACGGCCGCTCGCCACTACCGCATCCGTCCTCGTTATAGATATCGAGGTTGCCGAGCTCGAGCTCGAGTCGCTGTACCCTCTAGAGGTCGGCGACGACGCAGGCATCGTTCCCTTCGCCGAGGTGCGCAGCCGCGTCTATTGGCCGCATCCTTCGGGGGTTCGGGTGCTTCGCGAGGGCTACGCTCGTTTGCACGGCGCCCCGCCTACCGCAGGGGAAGAGCCTCTCCCAGGGGCCGATCGGGCTACCCCCTACCACTCTGCCGACGAGATGGAGGAGCCCGAGGGGTTCGCGGCCGACGGGGAAGCCGACCGCGCGGCCCCAAGTGCGCGAGCCCCCGCGGTCGCTGGAGCGCCGCGCGGCCCGCCCGCCAAGCGCGCTGGCGCCGCCGCGCCGCCACGGGTCGCGGGTCCTGCTCCGATTGCTCCTGGCGCTCCTGCGGCGTCTCTGGACGACGGGGCTCCCATGACCCGCGCCGAGGTAGCTGCCGAAATGCGCGCCTTGCTTGCAGCCCACGCGGCCTCCACGATGGTCGGCGGACCCGAACCGCTGGGCCCCGCTCCGGCTGCCCAGAGCGCTCGGCCCGAGGTGCCTCAGCTTTTCAGCGACGAGGCGGCGCGCCTCGGGCTGGATCCTGCGGGGATCGAGGCCGTCTTGTCCCACGCACCCGTGGCCCCTCATCGGGTCTCCGCGCGCCCCAAGGGACCCACCTCCGCGCTGGTCTCGGCGTGGGAGAAGGCGCGCTCTTCTGCTGTCCCTCGGGCCCCTTCGTCCGCTTTCGGACCGATGGGCCCCCCGCCGCCGCCTGGGCTAGCCTATCCCGCTGCGGTCGACGGCTTTGCCGAGGCGGGCGGCGCCGACGGGTTAGAGCCGCCCCTTGCGGCCAATCCGACGGACTTCAGCCTCATGCTTCAGTGCCTGCACCAGTCCCTTTCCTTGCAGCAGGGGCGGGGCCATCGCCCAGCCTTCCACCCGCTTCTGGGGACCCTGAGCGACCAAGCTCAAACTCCGCCCGCGACCTCGGGCGACCCCGCGCACGCATCGGCTCAGATGGGGGGAATCGCTCGGAGGCGCGAGTGGCAGCAAGCGCTGATGCAGCACGGCCCCGACGTGCGAGGACTGATGAGGGAGAATTTGGCCCGCGTTCTGGGCGTGGAAGTCAGCGCCGTGACCCCCATGGCCATGCATCAGTACTTTCGCGAGCACAGCCCCCTCGGGGCTCAGCCGTCGACGCACGAGTTGTTGACGCATTTTGCCTTCCTCAGCGCCGAGCTGTGGCGGGCCTGCGAGGAGGGCAACCCCGAGAGGGTCCAGACCTTGCTG